GTCACAGACTGTCCAAGCTGAAGGATTCCAGAGGGGACATTCTCGCTGGGCACGGTGGCTCATGCCTGTAATCCCAGCACTTTGGGAGGCCAAGGCAGGCAGATTACCTGAGGTCAGGAGTTCCAGATGAGCCTGACCAACATGGTGAAACCCCATCTCTACTAAAAATACAAAAATTGGCCGGGCATCGTGGCGGGCACCTGTAATCCCAGCCACTCCGGAGGCTGAGGCAGGAGAATGGCTTCAACCTGGGAGGTGTAGGTTGCAGGGAGCCGAGATTGCACCACTGCACTCCAGCCTGGGTGACAGAGTGAGACTTTGACTCAAATAAATAAATAAATAAAATAATAAAAATAAAAGGAATTTGAAAGTGTGGAGATCAGTGACTCCAGGTGAACCGGAAGTGGAGTCAGGGAAAACTCCTGCTTGAGGAGGCTCAGGTTCCACTTCAGGAAGTGAGTCCTCATCTCAGAGAGGGTCAGTTACCCTTTCTCAAATGTTGCCTGCTCCTTCTTCAGTTTTGCCCACTGACACCTATGAAGTGGGTATATCTTTTTTTTTTTGAACCCCAAATCCACTGGAGAAATGGGTATAATTCTTGTTCCTATTTCTCACTGCCCTCCCCAGGAACATGACAAAAATAAAATAGATTTTTCTAAGTGGCAGGCTATAGCAAAACAAATGTGAACTTTCATTATTTCTTTTTTCTGGCTAACCTTGCCGCCTGTTTTATTATTATTATAATTATTTTAATTCTTAGGCCCACTCCATTTTCCTGGGGCATTTTAGTTTTCCAGACCCTTGCCTTTTACTTTCTGTTTTCTTCTTTTCCTTCTGCCTATGAGGCAATGTTCCGGTTTGAGTGCAAACAGCATGAAAATTCGTTTCCAATAGATTTGAGTTTGAATCTCAATTTTTTCTCTGAGCTATGTGATGTTGGACAAATTGCTTAATCACTTTGAGTTTTAGTGTCTTCATTTATAAGTTAATAACACCTATCTTTCTGGATGTCTTTCTTTTTTTTGAGACGGAGTCTCACTCTATTGCCCAGGCTGGAGTGCAAT